CTGTGCCGAGAAAAGGAGGGGAGACCCAGAGGTGGAATCTCAATTGCATTTTGTTGCTTTAAGAGTGTTTGGTGTCTGCAGCAGACGCTAAGAGCTTGTGTTCTTCTTCCTGGGACCTGCCTCCCTCCAGATGGTAGGAATTGGGACGTCAGATGTGAATCTGGACAAGTACCGCCACACCTTCTGCAGTCTGCTGGGCAAGGATGAAGACAGTTGGGGACTGTCCTACACAGGTAATCCAGGCAGGGAAGTGTCAGAGGGCAGGATGGCTGGAAAGCCAGCCAAGGCCTAAGCATTTTCCTGGGAGTTTGAGAATTAAATGTTGTGAATTGGATTTAGGTCAAAATGGCTTCCAGAACTGAGTCTCTTTGTCAACTAAAACTGGAGCTGCTGCCTGTAGCTGGCCTCTATGTGTGCTTGAACAGCGTGCAGTGGGCTGTTCATTTCAGCAGCACTGCTGCACACCCACAGGGTTTGCCTTGGCATTGTATGTGCTGTAATACTGTGCCAGGCGCTCCCTAGCTGGCTGCATAGGATGGGCTGCTTTCAGCTCTTGGGGCGTCTCACCTCGCTTGTGCTTCTCTATGTCAAACAAGCACTTCTGAGGAGGACTCAGAGGTACTCACCCTGGCCCAGGTACTCTCTTCCTCCCTCCTCTCATTCGTACCGACACAGAAAAGTACCAACAACTTGTATTTCAAGGTAATGAGGTGGAACAATGCTCTTCAGACTTGTGCACTCCCACCTCCTCTTTTAGCAGAGGTCCAGGCTACGTTACTGATTTCATGAGCCAGCTGTCTACAGCAAATTCAAGCTGCCTTTTCTTACCCACCGTTGGCAGACCCTTAGAACTGATGCATGAATCCGCAGGGATGCGGGATTGCAGGTTGCATAGCACTGATCCAGGGTTTTTTATACCACTGCCTGTACCCTGATGTTCCAAAGCCTCAACATCCTCTTCTGTTTTCGCACCACGCTCTGGGATGGGAGAACAGTGAATAAGTGATGAGGAAACTAAAGGATTTTTTAGGTAGTGGCCAAGTCGGTACCGGTTGGGAGTTTGTGGTGACATATATGGAAGCTGGGATGAATTTGTGGAACACAGGCTTTCTACTGAATGTAAGGTTTATTGTTTTAAGGGCTACTGCATCACAAGGGAGACAAAACAAACTTCTCCTCGAGGTTTGGCCAAGGCTCCATCATTGGGGTGCATTTGGACACGTGGCATGGGACGCTCACGTTTTTCAAAAACCGGAAGTGCATAGGTAAGAGCAAGGGCAGCCCCACCAGCTGTCAGGCATAGAAGCTGAAACGGAGGGAAACTAAACACTGCCTGTTTAGTTGAACTGCAAGTCTGGCTGCAGCTGGACTGCAGGAGAAAATACTGGCAAAATAGAAGAAAAATCAAGGCATGCAGTGAGTGGGAGGAAAGTTATATTTGTTATTTAATAGACTTGGATTTCAAAAGGCTATTTTCCAAGTGTTTCCTGACAGCTTTGTAGTTAACGCGTTGGGGGTAGCTGGGAGAGGTGAGAAGCCCTAGTCAAAACTAACGTGAAACCTCCTTGCTGCTGTCCCCGGCAGGGGTTGCAGCTACCAAGCTGCAGAACAAGAAGTTCTACCCCATGGTGTGCTCGACAGCGGCCAAGAGCAGCATGAAGGTGATCCGATCCTGTGCCAGCTGCACGTCCCTCCAGTATCTCTGCTGTTACCGCCTGCGTCAGCTCCTGCCTAACTACGTGGACACGCTGGAGGTGCTGCCGTTGCCACCAGGACTCAAACAAGTGCTACACAACAAACTTGGATGGGTCTTGAGCATGAACTATAGCACATCCAAGCCTTCCTCCTCATCATCGGGAAGCGACTCAGATAGCTCCTGTGGCTCAGATGCAGAGGCCTGCCAAAGGAAGAGGTGCAGGAGGACATAATGTCTCTTCATATGAACTGCCTTGAGGGGGTCAGATGAGGTTTTGTTCCGCTGCCTGCAAGGGCAGTCCAGGCCTGATGCACCTCTTTCTTAATGGGGACATTAGTTTCTACTTGTTTGCAAAGATTTCTCTTATGCTGTTTGAAATCTTTTTGCTAAACATCCATCACGTGCGTTGAAAATACCTATTGACTCAAAGAAGTCCCATCTCTGTGGAACAGGTAAACTGCAGCCAAATATCTGAGCTTAATCTCCCGCTTTGATATCAGTCACCACCTCTTTTTGAAGAATCACTTTTCTCTGTAGACTGTTCAGCAGAGACAAGACTTAAAATGGCTTCCTAATTTCAAAGCACACGTTTAGCAAACTATAATCAAATAACTGACTTATGAAAAGACAAACATCCAAAACGAGTCTCTCCCCTTCTAACTGTTGTATGTTGGTTTGGTATCTGCAATGAATTCTTCACAGTGGTGGGGCATGATCAAAAGGCAGCACGTAGGGAAATGGGCTCCTAAAGATGCATCTGTGCTATGTGACCATTGGCACCGTTGTGAAAGAGCAGTTACTTACAGGAGTTGAGCTGTTAGTGATCTTTCTTGAGTCCCTGCTGACTTTAATTGCTTTGCATGTTGGCTACTGCTGCTTCTCCTGTATCAAAGACTGTATTAAACTGTAATAATAAAAGTACAAGCCGTGTTTAATTCCTCTTACACCCCTCGAAGGCATGAATCTGAATGTGGCTGTCAAAATTAGCCCCACTAGGACAGCTAACGAACTGGAGAGGCTGTTTTAAATGTAATATTTGTTTGTCAGATCTAGCTGAGATAAAGGAAGTGGAGATTATCTTGCCTCTGCCCCCTGGAGGCTTCTTGCACTTTCCTCTGAAACGTCAGAGGCTGGCCTAGATTGATCTCTAACAGAGCCAGACTGACACCGGTAGCTGCAAACAAGAAGGGAGACCGACGTAGGGCAGAATTTTATAATCTGTATCTCATAACAGATTACACACTTGGACAAACTACCCCAGATACCCGCTCCATAGACTGAAAATCAGTGCAGCTTCTTTGTACAAAACAGCCAGTAATGGAGAGATTCGTGTGCTTCCTGTGGCAGGCCCCTTTTCTCATATGTGCTGAGACGAAATGCTGGAATAGGACTGGGAGCTTTAGTCAAAGAGGAATCCAGTAGTGGCCTGGTATTGCTGCCAGCAAATCACACTCAGGAAAGCCTTCCTGCTTTTTTGCATTTGATCTACCTTGAGATATTAAGCAGGAAAGAGGAGGTAAAAGTACTTTAGCTGCTCATAGCAGATTAGTACGTAGGCATTGTCTGGGAGCAAATTGAGTAGGAAGAGGATGAATCGGGTTCCTAAGCAGTTTTAACTGCCAGGGCTCTGTCATGATGCCAGAATGGACTGGCTCAGGGGAGTGATCCTAGAGCTGATCCCAGCTGGGAGGCCAGTTACATGGCCGCATTTGGCAGTTCAGCCTATGCCTATTTATACCCCTCAGTGCCAAAGTAGCACCGCTGTGAGACCTGACGGGCAGGACAGCGAGGAGCACGGTGAGAGGGGGCTGCGTTAGAGAGCACAGCACCACCTGCTCACGGCAGCCTGGCCACAAGCTGTCTTAATCGTACATAGTCTGCCACTCCAGCAGTGCTGGATGCCAACGCAATTACAGTTGCCTCTCAGTTCTGGCTGCTCTCTGCAGGGCCCTGGTTTAGCACAGGATTTCTGTCCGTGTTCCTTTTCACTGACCTTTGAACTCTCTTCCAGAGAGCAGAGCATTTACAAATGATTTAGGTATAAACCAATGTGATCAGCAAAGTGGAAAAGTTGTTGAAACAGGGAAAAGTGTTGAGATAAATATCACAGGAAATGCCTTTTGACCTGTCCACTTCACAGATTTCTTCCCACTGCTGTTACTACCAGCACGAAACAAGAAGTACCCAGCTGCTGCCTTTTCTCCTGGGCCTTTACCTGAGGCCTGCTCATGAAAAGCTTTTTGTACAATGTACTATTCCCCACCTTTCCTTCCCACATTATGAATCTTTAAGAGTAGATCAAGCTTGCTCCTCCAGTTACAGCCTTCAAATGAGGGCCTTAAAGCAATAGAGCTCTCTGTCAATCCATCTGTATTATATCTATCTGCCAGAGAAACAGCCTTGCTGGACTTCTCCTTTCGAGGAACTAATTCAAGTATTATCAGATGGAGACAAAAAGATCACTGGGAAGGAGGAACTTTATTCTGAGGATGTGCTTCCACTGTTGCATTACCAGTGGGGTTTGAGCCAGTGAGCAGGAGGAAGTTCAGGGGGTTTCTGTGGCAGTGTGGAAGGCACTGAGTTGCACTTCAGTGAGCAAGGCCCCAAGTAGCATTATCGAAACCTCAGACATTTTGGGGTCCCTGACCCCTGCTGTCCTGGCTGCCGCTATTTCCAAATAAAAAACCAAAGCATTTGCTTTGGGAAAAGGGAATCCCAACCCATAACGCATCATACTGTGTAGTTTTCTGGAGCTTATCAGGCATCTCCTTGGGTTGGGAGCTCAGTCACCAAACTCCTCTCCGCTGCCTTGAGCTCCATGTTACCCTACGATGTGGTTCCTCCCTGACCACCCAGTTTTGACCATTCATTGACGAACATTTTCCTAAGCAACTCCATCAAGACTCACTTGCCCAAGGAAGCCACAAGCAGGACCTACAGTAACAGGTCCAGCCTCATCAAAGCACCATCGGGGAGCAGGACATCAGAAGTCAGGACACTGCAGAAAATATTTGGCTCATTCAGCAATATACCTGAACGGCAGTACGGGATAGACTTACCATGCAGCTGTCTCAGCTGAGGAGCAGATCCTGTGTTGCTCAGAGACAGCTCACTGACGCTTTCCCGTCCAGTTCCTGTTCCAACATTGCTTCACTCTCTTAGGAGACAGCCTTCACTCTCTTAGAGCACAGCCTTTCTGCTGTGCTCTAGCTAGAGGGACATAAAGCTGGGGGGCTAAAAGGGGAAAGGAGAGCCAAGAGGCTGAAGAAAGCATCTGTAACAAGACATTTATTGATGTGCAAGTCTCTGTTCTGAAACAGAATCAGCTGCTTCCACTGGCTGGGCTCCCAGCAACAGTCATGCCAGCAACAGCTCAGCCACTGCCGAGTCTTGGCAGATAAAACATCGAGGCTGACCAGCACGGACCACAGTCCCATTACACACTCAGGTCCAGGAAAAGGTCGGGGTTGGTGGTCACCGTGAAGAGATAGATATGGCAGGATCAGTCTGGTCCAATACGGTGGTCTTTACAGCTGATGTCTGATTTAATCCAGATGTCACTCAGGAGTCGTCTTCAGTCTTCTGTGCTGCATTCTTCCCAGGTCTTCATGCAGACAGGAGAAGGAAGGAGCTGACGTGGAGCTCTCAGCTAAGGCTCCTATCTCCAGTGCTCAATCCCATTGTTACAGGGAGGATCCATGGCTGAACTTTCATCCAAACATACCAGGTTCAGGGGATAAAACTCAGAAGAATCAAGACCTCCCACTTGCAAACAGACCTCCCAAACAGTCAGAGAAAGCAAAAGCTGCTGGACATACCATGTTGGATAAGGGCAATGGGATGCATACAACAGACCTTCAGCTGCACCAGTTGGGATGGGGAACCAAATACGCAAAGAAACTTTGAGCTGGTCCTGTTAGGTGAAACCAAGGTGGAGAGAGGCCTGCAGGGGCTAACGGAAGCTGTAAGTAGGTATTGCTGAAACAAAACTTATTGTCCATGTCAAGCACTCTCATCTGGAGACAACCCTTGCCTCTCTGGAGAGGTGATTTCACACTGTTAGCTTCGGTCTATCAACCGAGGCCTTTCGGCAGGGAAACATGCGGCACCCGCCCCTGCCTTAATCCTCCACGCAGCAAGCTTTTAACCGGACACCGCGGGGTTTGAGGGCTTACCTGTAACAGGAGCCCTGGAGAGGGATACACTTCTTCTATAGCTGCTGCCATTGCAGGGCTGACTCTCTTAAACTGCTGGATTTCTCTCTTCCACACCTGCCAGAGTCCTGGGCCGTCCTTCTCCACTCGCACCCCCTTGGCCCAGGCCCCAGCAGTGCAGAAAGGCACCGCCTCTGCCTGCGGCAGCCTCCTGCAGAAAGATGGATTGCTCAGAGTAAGACCTAGGGACAGGACGAGCAGTGAGCACAGGCCTGCAGGCCCCAGATGCTGCAGCCTTCCCCTAGCATTAGGCAGTTGGCTTCCTGTCTAAAGCCCCTCTCTATCCAGGAATAACATTTTTTCCTCACAGTTTTCCATCCTTCCCTGGAAAGCTCCAGAACACATTGTTGGAAAGGTTTTCCTAAGGCTGCCTTTTTCCCTTCTCTCCCAATGCTGAATCAGAACTGCACTCACCTTCACAACAGAGGATGTTCATAGGCACAGAGGACTGAAAATGATCTCGTCCGAGCTCTTACACTGACAGCACTGAAGACAGGCTTGCATTCACAGGTAAGTGTTTCTGTAACTTCCGCTGAGGTTTTCCAAAGCTCTGGGCTCGCGGTTTGACCGGATCCAGTGATACAACTCACTTGTATGGGTGTTTTGCTATTGCCTTAGTCAGCGCAGAGACATGCTGGCCAAATTCCTGCCATGTGTCTAAGAGCAGCACTTCAACGTTACCCCACAGCTGGAGCACCACCAGTGCCTGGAGAAGTGACACAACGCAACACACCGCACAAGACGAAGACAAGCTCGCATGGGCCAGCTGTGAACTGGGACAACCGGAGGCCTTCACCCTCCTCCAAAGACACACACCCCGCTTAAACTTCAGCCAGTTGTGCTGGTGTCAGCCCTGGCCTCCAAAGGCTCCTGGGGAGAGGAGTGAGGAAAGCGCATGGGTGCAACACATCCCTCAGCAGGTGAAGCTGGGCTGGGGCTGGAAGGGGAAGGAGGCTGGGCTGACCGTACTCTGTCAGCTCTGTTTACACAGAAACAGTAAAGCCTGCTCAATCTTCTTAGTTCCCAGTAAGACCACGAGTCATAACCTCCTTTGGGCCATACTCAGACAACAGGGCAGGAGTTTAGTTCAAGGGATACCAAACACGAGTTTTGATTGTATTTCACCTAGTTTGTGACTGCTATAGCATCACAAGGAGCACCCCTGCTCTGCTGTGGGATACAGGCTTTGCAAGGCAGACAACCCAGAGCCAACAGCTCCCTTCATGCTTAATGGGGCTGTTCCTGGGGGAAGCGGCGGGCGGGCTCTCACACACGAGGGAAGGCTAGGTCAGATCTGAACCAGGGTCTTACAAACAGGAGGCTCAAAACCCTGCCTCCAAGTCTGCTGTCCCTATCCAATCCCATTGCAAGCCAGGATGAAGAAGGATATGCGAGGATTCAACTTGTTCCAAGTCAGCCAATATCTCCTCTCAGCAAAGCATTCATTACATGCAAGGGCTCACCAGTGGGACCCCTTTCTGTACAGCTCAACCATGAGTAACATAAAACTTCAAGGACTGTAAGAAGTTTCACCTCCTTTATGTCCTGGTGGGTCACAGACACCTCTGGGCCAGGCAGGGACCTGGGACTCTTCTTTCTGAGGCTCAGTGCTTGCTGCCTGCCCTGCTCCTGATTACACCTAGAAGCAAGACACACAGTTCACTTTGTCTACAAGCTCTACAGAGTCACACTCTGGGGCTGATGTCTGATAAAGAGGAAAAGGCCAAATTTAATCCACTCACATCTGCTACCTCTTAATCTCACTTGAACCTGGAGACAAAGGTATCGAGTTTGCTTCAGGCCACCCGCCCCCACAAGGGGCAGCAAGGACAGCCCCCACGCTGCAGGTTTTGGTGGAGGAGCCCTCCAGAGTGGCCAAAGGCAAGGCTGGCTTCAGATCAGGCCGAGTGCCTGATGGGGCACCGACAAAACTCTGAAGCAAGACAAACCACATCTCAGTCTGTAGTAGCCTTCCTCCCCGAAACAACCCCTCCACATCCGTGGAGACCAGCAGGACAGCGCAGGCTGTTCAGGGTGCATCTCATCACCGGGAATGGGCAGGAGCCAGGCTCAGGCTGCAGCGGGGGCTGTAGGGCTGGTGTGGCCTTTGTGCATGCCACGTTGGCCAATATCCCATTGCTTTTTCTGGCTTCACCTTTTTGCCTGGAGTGTTAGCACTGACCTGCTCACGGACGCTGCCTATTCTAGCCTTCCATTCTCCGTTCTTGGGGCGGGCCGGATGGACTGTTTTATTGGAGGGATTATTTTATTGGTGCAAATGCGGTGTTAAGTTACTCAAAAGTATGTTTGATAAAGCAGCTGGATACTTGCCACCCACCAAAGAACCAACAAATCCAGCGCAAGACCTGCACGGGGGGGG